CCTAAGTTGTCTTCTCCATGGGAAGACCCATATGACATAGTAGTTCATCTCTTAGACATGACTTTTCGAATAAAATGTGGTCAGCGAGGTAAGCCAAAGATGGTGCATGCCAAGAGGCTTTGGCGTTATCATGGTCCAGGACATTTCAGTTGGAATGAAATGAACAATGGAACAAATGACGCTGCTGAAGACATGTTACCTGAAAAAGCCACTGTCAAAGAAGAAACTACCCAGTTTTGAGAAGGAAAACAGTGAAGCCGTTAATGAAGTTACTACCACTGATGTGACTGCTTCTGATTATGGGACATTTCCTGATGGAGTAGATGAACCCCACGTAAAACAGAAGCCAATAAGATGGAGACCAGTGCGAAAGAAGAAACGTCCTGTAAAATTAAGATACTTTGTTGTATTTTAATTTTGTGTTTGTAAATTCCGTACATTTAATTAAGTTATTGTTAATTATCTATTGGTTCAATGTAAGTGGCTATTGGAAGGAGCAGTGTTACGACAGCGGAATGATCATGAATTAGACCGAGTTTGTTTGGGACACCCTCTTCTTTAATATATAAACCTAGCAGAGAAAGCCTGTGGAATTGAATGAAGAGAGTTCCGGGTAACTTACGATTCTGTTTTGATCTAGTGTGCGATTTCGAGATTGTGAATCGCTGTGATTTATAGCGTGTGTTATAAAAGTAGTTAAATTTAAAGTGACGAGAAACGTATTGACTGTGGACTTGCTGTGTATTCAATGATTACTTTCCTGCAGAGGTTTTCAAGGCTGGTTTTTAATTCTAACACTAGGATGGTGGGAGGAGTTACTGTGTAGTTTACACCTTTATTTAGGGTTGTGAGTTTGAGAGTTGAAATTTGTCATGGTTGGTTATATTGTTAGTTACAGTGTCTGGTTCTGGTTTTTTGGGGTTCTGCTGAAAGACGAAGTTTTTCTAGCGTTATAAGTTTCGTTTAATGGTGTAGCCCTTAAAGTAGGTTCTTTTCTGTATTAATGATGAAAATAAGTTGTAATCTTCAGGGGTAGTCTAAAGATCGATGTTGCTTCGTAAGTCAAGATCATTTTTCGGAGACATTTCAGATTATTTGAGCTTTTTCTATGATAATTTTGATTTTTAGGTTGAACTGAAAGTTCACTTTTATTTTTAGGAAAATTGGTGTCAACTTTCTTTTTTTTTGCATGTTTTTAGAAAGTTTAAGCTTCACCATTAAACAACATTACGCTCATCGAAAGAATCTGCCAATGTTATGAAAAAACAGGAAAGAAGAGGTTTATTTTATTACGAAAAACCACCTGAAATTATAGAATTATATATTAAGCTTAACAAATACAGGAACAGTAAC